TACAAATAGCTGGCATCTGTAGATCTCTCAGTAGCTCCTGCCAGGTGGCCTCAGGTAGTGGCTGACTTTGCACCTCCTTGGAGGCCCTAGAGCCAGTGCACCCAGTAGACAGCTTCAGATCATAGCACATTACAACTCTACACATCCACAAGTGACACACTCCAGAGGCAGACTCAGTGAGCACCAAAGCCCCACTGAAGCAAGTCCTGCTCCATAGGGGTATCTCCTGCACAGCTGCTCTTCCACTATAGTTGCAGCTGGTTCTCACAGCCAATTGGCCTAGAGGTCAATTCCTCCCAGTGATGCCAACAACAATCAAGGCTCAACTACAAGACTGTGCACACAGCCAACACAGGGGTACACTTTGGAGAGCTCAGCTCAGGTGACTGAAGAGGCTGAGCCACTAGGCCCTACAGGACACAGACAAAGCAGTTCTACCTAATACATAGAAACAAACTCAGAAAAGCAGCCAAAATGCAGAGACAAAGAAATATGTCAGAAATGAAAGAAATGGAAGCAAGCAAAGTACTGGATACAGAGTTCGAAACCATGCTTACAAGGTTACTCCAGGATCTTGATGAGACTTTCAAGGATCTTAGTGAGAATGTCAAAAACATGCTAAAGTACTGAAATAAAAATAAGTTACAAGGATTCAACAGTAGAGTTGGGGATTCTGAGAATCAAACCAACAATTTGGAATAAGAGGAAGCAAAAAACACCCAATCAGAAGAGCAAAAAGAAAAAAGAATCCAAAAATATGAAGATAGTGTAAGGAGCTTCTGGGACAACTTCAAGCATACCAACATTCCCACTATGGGGGTGCCAGAAGGAGAAGAGAGAGACAAAGATATTGAAAACCTATTTGAAGAAATAATGACAGGAAACTTCTCCTACCTGGTGAAAAAAACAGACTTACAAGTTTGAAAAGCACAGCGAGTCCTAAACAAGAAGAACCCAAAGAGGCCCACACCAAGACACATCATAATTACAAGGCCAAAGATTAAAGACAAGGAGAGAATCTTAAAAGCAGCAAGAGGAAAGCAGTCAGTTACCTACAAGGGAGCACCGGTACTGTCAGCTGATTTCTCAACAGAAATTTTGAAGTTAAGAAGGGAGTGGCAAGAAATATTCAAAGTGATGAATAGTAAGGATCTATCACCAATATTACTCTACCTAGCAAAGCTATTATTTAGAATTGAAGAAAAAGCTAAAGGAGTTCATCATCACCAAATCAGAATTACATAAAATGTTGAAGGGTATTCTTTAAGAAGAGGAAGGGGAAGAGAAAGGAGGAGGAGGAGGAGGAGAAGGAGAGGAAGGAGGGGAAGGAGGAGGAGAAGAAGAACAGTTAAAAATTATGACCTGGCAACAAATACATATCTATCAACAATTGAACCTAAAAATCAAAATAAAAGAACAAGAAATCTAATAAACAAACTAAACTGGTGAATAAAATAAAATCAGAGGCATGGGAGCAAGGAACAGACTGACAAATCTCAGAAGAGGGGAGGAGAAGCAGGAAGAAATTAACCAGAGAGAGAAACCAAGATGGCGGCATAGGTGAACACCGGAAATTGCTGCCTCCGACAACAACTTCAAAAATACAACTAAAAGACAGAACGGTCATCATCCAGAACCACAGGAAGGCTGGCTGAGTGGAAATTCTACAACTAGAAGGAAAGAGAAGAGCACACAGACTCAGAGGAGCTACGAAAGTAAAGTGCAAAGGTACGGAGGCTCCGGCGCACGGGGAAAGGGGCTGGCACCGGAGGACGCGGCTGTCTTTTTGAATCGGGAGGGAGTCACAAGCTCCCGACTGCTCTGAACTCCGGTTCCGGGAAATCTCTGGGGTCCCAGGGCTCATACGGGGAGAAACTGGACGGTCAGGCAGCAGGCAGAACTCGGAACTTGAGGGCGGCTTTCCCTCAGAGGTGCTGGCAGCAATTACCGGGACACTGAGACACGGGGCCCCTTAGGGCAGGGCTGAGAATCAGCCATAGCTGCTTGCTCCGCCCTGTTGATTTCGAGACCCCGCCCCATCCAGGCTGCTGCAAAGGCTTTTGCATATGAATGCCCGGGTCCTTTGCAACCTGAAAATTACCTAACAAATTGCAGCTGGGCCAGACAGACCCAGAACTTCCAAGAGAAGGCCCAAGGCCCCACAGCAGCTTGCATTGCTTCACAGCTGGGCCTCATCTGGGCACCCCCAAACACCCCCCCCCCAAAAAAAAGGAAGGGGAATCTGCATATCTCTTCTTAGCTCCTGCTGGGTAACCTCAGGAAGAGGCTTAATTAGCACCTCCTTAGATCCAAGAGCCAGTGTACCCAGTGGTCAGAGTGGGACCATCCAGATTACAACTCCTCAGATTCATAAGGAACACACTCAGGGGGCAGACTCAGTGAGCACCAAAGCCCCACTGAAGCAAGTCTTGCCCCAGAAGGGTGTCTTCAGCACAGAAGTTCTCCCACTGCAGACACAGCTGATTCTCACTGCCAATTGGCCTGGAGGTCAATTCCTCCCAGTGACACCTAAAACAATCAAGGCATAACTACAACAAGACTGTGCACAAAGCCCACAAGGGGGTGCACCAAGAGTGTCCACCTCAGGTAACTGGGGAGGCTGAGCCACTGGGCCCTGTAGGACACCTAGCACAGAAAGCCACTCTACCAACACAGGGAAGCATAAAAAATGTGGAGACAAAGAAACAGGTCACAAATGACAGAAATGGAGGACAGCAAACGACTGGATATAGAGTTCAAAACCATGTTTCTAAGATTTTTCAAGAATTTTATGGAAACCGCCGATAAATGAAGTGAGATCCTCAAGAAATCTAGTGAGACCCTCGATGTTGTGATAAAGGACCAACTAGAAATTAAGCATACACTGACTGAAATAAAGAATATTATACAGACTCCCAACAGCAGACCAGAGGATCGTAAGAATCAAGTCAAAGATTTGAAATACAAAGAAGCAAAAAACACCCAACTGGAAAAGCAAAATGAAAAAAGAATCCAAAAATATGAAGATAGTGTAAGGAGCCTCTGGGACAACTTCAAGCGTACCAACATCAGAATTACAGGGGTACCAGAAGAAGAGAGAGGGCAAGATATTGAAAACCTATTTGAAGAAATAATGACAGAAAACTTCCCCTACCTGGTGAAAGAAATAGACTTCCATGTCCAGGAAGCGCAGAGAACCCCAAACAAAAGGAATCCAAAGAGGACCACACCAAGACACATCATAATTAAAATGCCAAGAGCAAAAGACAAAGAGAGAATCTTAAAAGCAGCAAGAGAAAAAAAGTCAGTTACCTACAAGGGAGTGCCCATACGACTGTCAGCTGACTTCTCAACAGAAACCATGCAGGCCAGAAGAGAGTGGCAAGAAATATTCAAAGTGATGAATAGCAAGAACCTACAACCAAGATTACTTTATCCAGCAAAGCTATCATTCAGAAATTGAAGGTCAGATAAAGAGCTTCACAGATAAGAAAAAGCTAAAGGAGTTCATCACCACCAAACCGGCATTATATGAAATGCTGAAAGGTATTCTTTAAGAAGAGGAAGAAGAAAAAGGAACTCTTACCATTTGCCACAGCATGGATGGAACTAGAGAGCATTATGCTAAATGAAATAAGCCAGTCAGAGAAGGATAAATACCACATGATCTCACTCATTTGTGGAATATAATGAACATCATAAACTGATGAACAAGGACTGATCCAGAGACGGAGAGGCATTGATTGAACTGTCGGGCCTTGGAGGGAAGGTAGGGGAGGGTGGGGGTAAGGGGAAAAGATCAACCAAAGGACTTACATGCAACCATATAGGTCTAACCAATGGACACGGACAACGGGGGAGTGAGGGCATGAGTGGGGGGGGGGGAGGTAGGGGGTTACGTGGGTATAAGGACACATATGTAATATCTTAATCAATAAAAAAATATATTAAAAAAAATAAAAAGAAAAAAAAGAAATTAACCAAAGATCTTACCTCTGGACACAGACATTAGGGTGATGAAGGCCTAGGGCAGGGCAGGAACTGGGTGGAAGGGGGCAACAGGGGAAAAAAAGGGGGAATATCTGTAATACTTTCAATAATTAAGATTTTAAAAAAAGAAAGAAAAAAAAGAATGTAGGAAAAGAGCTCAAGCATGTCTGTTATTATAGACAATTATAATTGTATGAAGCCTATAATACTAAGAGGGTTAAATTGGCCCTGTGTGTGTTTTTTTTATTTATCTTTATTGTTACAAGTATTAAAGATATCCCACTCCCCATCCTCCACCCCCCACTGAATCCCTCTACTCTGCTCCCATTCTATCCTCAGGCATTCACTGCACTATTGTCTGTGTCCGTGGGTTATATATACATTTATGTTAAGTTCTTTAAAACAAAGGTACCTGACCTCTAGTTTTTGTAGGCTCTGGTGCTCAGAGGGAATGAAGATCTTTGACTTTATAAAACAGTCCCCTTATAAAACTACTAAAAAGCTAAAAGTCTGGTTCTCTAATATGTGGTTAAGTTGTTTGGAAAGCTGAGGATAAGGACCTATTAGTTCTAACTTTCCTATGTTTTACATGTGCTTATGTACTGATACAAATTTTTTAGGCTTTCCAAATGTTTTAAGTAAAGCAGCTATTTTTCAAACCTTTATTTGGGCAAACAGTTGAAACTAAAAAACAAATTAGAAAATAAAACAACAATGAAGCAGTAAGTTACAAAATGAGAATGTCCACAAGCTACTGAACAATATGAATTCAGGGCAGAGTGACTGATACAAAAGGCTGTACTTCCTGAGCATTCCAACATGGACAATTAAAACCCTCTTGAGTAAATCTTCTTCTCACTGACGCAGCAGAAAAGTAGGAGGAGTGCTTGGGGAGAGGAAAAGAAAAGAGATGAGAACCAGCAAATCAACAAACATCTCATTAATACTGATGCCTTTTAGTCTGTGCCTTTGTAGAGAACTTTCAAATAATTACAAACTTATAGTAAACATTTCTGTCTGATTAAATAAAAACTCAATAGTGTTTATTGTGGTCGAATCAGAATTAAAATTACCATAGGCCAGCACATATAATCATCACTCTGGTGGCTGGAAAACTGGCTCGAGGGCATAGAGGGGACATGTTGATGAGGGAAGGCCGTGCTTGGAGGAAGCTGGGTCTTTTTGATCACCTTTACTCCACTTTTACTTCATCACCATTCTCCTGTCTGAGCTTGAACACGGGAATCTGCTGACCATCCTTGAGCTCTAAGAAGACCTCCTGAAGGTGCCACCTGATAGAAACCAAAAGTAATCCAGAAAACACTGGCAAATGACATGGTCAAATGGTCAAATCGGGGGGGAACAGGTGTTTGGAATATTGTCTTAAATTTTGTAAACACTAATTCATGTTATAACGAGGCAACATAACATTTTCACATTTTATTTATTTTTAAAGAGTAATTTATTGATTTTTCAAGCGAGAGGGAGGGAGGGAAAGAGGGTGGGAGGGCAGGAGGGGAGAGAGAGAGAAAATCAATTAGCTGCCTCCTGCACACCCCATACCCAGGGATCAAGCTGCAACCAGGGCATATGCCCTTGACCAGGAATCTAACCAGCAACCTCCTGGGCCAGAATGATGGTTAGGGTGAGCCACACTGGCTAGGGCTTACGTTTGATTATAGGCTCTCATTATTTAACCAGCATCATTTCAAGGCAAGTTACCAGTGAATGACCGATGGGTAAACTGAAGGGGCCTCGGGGAAAAGGAGCACCTTACTCCCCATTTCCTCATTCACTTGGGCCTTCAATTCTGGCTGGAACCTGGCCAGCTCCTCCACTGATCCCAGACTTTGGAGTCGATGTCCTCCAAAGGGGGCGGCATAACGGCGGCCTGCTCATTTTGTGTTGGGGAATTAAAACACATCCTGGCTAAACAGCCAGCATCTCTGAGAGAGCTTCCCTGAGGAAATAAGTGAATACAGCTTTTGGCAACCAGACAAGTAAAGCCAATTAATGGTATGCAAAACTTACATAAAGAGTGTGTTGAATGATTTTGGAATAGGAAGCCATGTCTTTATTTATATGCAATGATTGAGGCAGTAGTGTCAGAAGTGTAAAATTATTGTAGACCTACACTGTAACTGTCAAGTTCTTCATATTCAGCAGAATAAGGAGTAGACAACTTGGTGGATTGCACTGGATGGAATGCCTGGACTAAGAGCCAAAGCACCAGCTTGCTGTCCTGGCTGTAAAGCTTTTCAAGCTTTGAAAACGTAATTCCTATTACCACAGTTACATAACCACAAATGAAGATGGGAGTCAGGATTGGTCCCATCAGGAGGTCCCCTCCCTCCATACCCACCCACTTTCCCATAATACCTTTTAAAGGGGGCCTCCCTGGAGGAGATGACATAGAGATGGCCTGCCGACTTGGATCCAGAGACAGGAATCTTCAACTACAAGTGTAAAATGAGAGATATAACTGGATATGTCGCTGTCTCTCAAGAGATGAAAAAATGATAGAGCTAATCCTATAAAAACCAGTGCTTATCTACAGAATCTGGCTATTTTCTAACTTCAGCCTTCCTGGAGAATCCATCTTGTTTTCTATCTGGCCCCTCCAAATGTCCTGCCCCTCTTTGGATGGTTTGGTGAGGTCAAAGGCAGCCCCCTCTTATTTAGCAAGGAGACCTTATATGCCAAACTCAATACTCTGAGTACCTGCCATGATTATTTAAAAATCCAGTTAGAAAAGAACTACTGATACAAGCAACAATATGGATGAGTATTAACAACATGCTGAGTGAAAAGAGCCTCACCCAACAGGAACTGCATACTCTAGAACAGGCTGAAGTACACTGGGGGGGAATATCAGAGAAGTGATTGCCTCCGCTCGGGCTGGCGGATGTGAGAGGGGACCAACTGGGAGCAGCATGAGTGAACTATCAGGTGTTGGGAACAGTCCACATCTAGAAAGGGGCTTGAAGGGTACTTGTTAAAATTCATCAAATAAGACACTTAAATTGTACTTTTCACAGACTGTAAATTTTACCTAAAAAAGAAAGAGCCATACACAAATATTAAACTCTAGTTAATGATATATATTCTTATGTGTTTAAAGATCAAGTATGTGGATGTTTGAAAATAGTAAGTTGTTCATGGACAAACCTTATTATGGCTAGATGAATAGGTATGGGATAAAGCAAGTAGAGCAAAACACTATTTGTAGAATCCAGGTAGCTAATATGTGGGTTCCGCAGCATACACTCTTTAATTTTTTTCTGTATGTTTAAAACTTTTCACAATAAAGTAGAAGGAGAAAAAAAAAAAAGTCCACTGTTTAAAAGGGGAAACTATTACCAGCAAATTGGCACACATTTTAACCTGGACCATAAAGAACAGGTCTTAAGAAAAATGTAAAGGCTCGTTTGGGAAAGACAAGGAAATCTTGGTTAGTTCATCCTCACCAGTCACCCCCCACAGGCTGGGCTCACCCCACATGGCCAGGTGCTGCCCGGATGCTGCCATGCCCGAGCCTAGGGAGTCAGCCTGGGAACCTCAGAGTGAGCTGGTAGGTGTTTACTAATATGCTACTATTTAAAACATATTGAATGCAATCTTTTGTTTCTCCATGAAAACTAAAGACAATTTGAGCCAAGGGAAGGGGACACAATGTTGTAACAAGGAAACCCATCACAAGGCGCCTCCCAGGGTGCCTTCCTGTGCCCAGGTGATAGGCAAAGGTACTTTCATGGGCTGAGAGATGGTGTGTCTTATCCACAGCAAACTGTCACCGAGAGAAAGAGTACTTGGGTACACATATTAGTGTTTTCCAAAATCCTCTTTCATTTATTTAAATACACTTTAAAGACACAGACTTTGGAATGGTGGCTCCACACCCCAAGTCACTCAGAGTGATTCTTCAGAGTTCTACTTTTGGAATCAAGCCACAGCTCTTCTCAGAGGGTTATACAATTAAGCAACAGAGCATACATTGAGTGTCTCTGCATGCCAAAAGAAAAACAAAAAAAAGGGATGCATGTGTGATAAAAGGGCAGAAGTAGGATTTTGAAGAACAGCAGAGGGATCAGTGTCTGAACTTCAGGCAGTTGTGCCTCTGGGTGTGATGAGGTGCTTTACAGACTGGGTTCTGCACTGCCCAGACTTTGCCAAGAGTAAAGCAGGAGGTCTGATAAGCCAACGTGTTGGTAGTTAGAGACGATTTCACACATATACTTGAGGGGAACACCCTTCAATATGACAGCTCCTTATGAAAAACTGAAACTTCTCACCTCTGAACGAAATAAAGAAACTCCAAGTAGGGATTTGGGGATAAGATGCCCTGTGTTATATAGAGGCAACCTAATAAATAGCCAATTGTAAAGGAAGTGAAGAACCCTGACAGGATGTCACACATACTGTACAAACTGGAAGAGCAAAGGCTGGGTCGAGAGGAGGCTCTGGGGAGCAGGCTTGAACTCCTGTCACTGCTCTCACAGGCTCAGCAGCAGCAGAGGCCAGTGCCCGGCACCACAGCCAACACCGTCTCAGTGCCGCCGAGGGCCTGGGCTGCGGGCGGGAAGAGCCTCTCAGCAGCAGCCGATGTGCTAGAAGACTGGGCCAAAGGAAGAGCTGGGCCTGGCCAGCTTTCAGAGAAGGTTCCCACTAAAACTACCTTGGCGTCCCAGTCACTGGATCACCAGATCAGAGAGCTGATGCTGCATCAACCTGCCTTCAGCAAAGGTGCTTGCAGGTTTCTTGAGCATCGCAGCCAGGCCCTGTGCTGCTCTGAGCTGGGAGACACCCTGAATAGCCAGACCCAATCTCTGGCCGTTCAGAGTCCTTGTGCTTGCAGGGATCCAGCCAAGTGAACAGAGATGGTGAAACACAGAGGAGCCACACCACATAGTGTGAGGAAGTTTAAGATAATGAAAATAAGGCTAGCAGGCACAGAGCAGGCACCCAATACATGTTCACTCTTTTTTCTTTTCTCCTCAGGGTTCCCTCTCTCACTTAATGGCACCACTGTCTTTCCACTCATCCATGCTAAACATTAGAGCATCATCTCTGACACACCTCTCTCCTGCCACAAAACTGTTACCTAGTCCTATCACCTGGCAACCACCATAGCCTTCATATCCAGCTCTCATTCCTCTAGCCCACAGCTCTGAATCATGCCCGCACCACTGTACACCCAGGTGGCCACAATGCTCTCTAAAGGCTCCCAGTCCCTGGGTATTCCCAATCTGAATGAATTCACCTTGCTTTAAAACCAGACCAAATATTTATCAGAATACTTGAGCACAAATTGCTACTATAGCTAAGAAAAAAAAAACACAATAAAACTATTTCCATGAAAAATAAAATAAAAACAATAACAAACAAAAAAACTAGGTCAAAGCATCACACCCTTATTTTCAAAATACTTCAGAGCTCCTGCTGGCCACAGAATCAAGTGTGTGCACCTCACACGGTGAGGTTGCAGCCCTCTAGTTGCCCCCAGTCCACTAACCACTCCACTCACAGCCTTCACTCTAGTATTTGCTTCACCCTGTCTTATTCTGGAATTTTAAACTATAAACTCTCAGAAAGCCTTCCGCATTTCTGTATTCCCCACACAACTTAGAATCACTTTTCTAGCTCAGAATGTACTCAACACAAATGCATTTTATATTCGGCTGAGGTTTAACAGGTAAACTATGAAAGAAGACAAAATAGAGCTGGAAAAAACAGATTGGCATTCCAGACAGTCAATGTAAATAAATAAGCTTCAAAAATAAAATTTAAAGAAGTTGTTTACATTTGAATAAGAGTTAACTGGCTGTAGATATATTTCAAGTTTGAAGCTGAAATATGTGGTGGCCAACTACCACTGGTCATTTCTCTATCAGTTCAAAATGGCACTTGAGCAGAAACACTGCATTCCCTGCCACATCAATTGTCCTAAAAAGAAGAAAAATGCACGAGAATAAATTAATCCCCAATTGTTTTTAAAATGTCCCAAGTAGTACCTCTCCCAAATCCTTACTCCTGCTGCCTCTCAGATTAGGGCAGCCCCTCCTATCCTTCAGTAGGCACCTAGCCTAGTTTGCTGGGGAGCACGTTACCTTGGCATCAGCAATGTCCACAAAGTTGTACTTGTCCATGAGCTGGAGATAGTGAGTGTTGAGAGGAGTGCCCAGAGCTTCCAGGGCCTCAGGGTGGCTATGCAGCTGCTCCAATGCCAACTGGTAATAGGAAGCCCTGGAAAAAGCTTCTAAGTGGGAAAGAGTTGTTACATTTTTGTTGTCTTTATTGAACTTTATTGAACTTGGCAGACTCTGTAGAAAGTTAAATGATACAATTTATGTACAACATGGAAACAGATACAATTATGAAATTTAGAGATGGAAGAATTAGGGAAAATCTACTCTAAACTGTCCATTTTAAAAACTCCAAAATCAAAGCCTACAAAGTCAGGATCTGTGGGGATGTGGCAGACGATGCTGGGCTAAGTACTTAACCTTTCTGTGCCTCAATTTCTTCATCTCTCATTTCCTGACCTCATTTACTACCTCATTTCTTCATCTAAGGGGTTTGATCAGATCTTCTCTCAAACTCCTTTTGGTCCTAGAACCATAATTTTCTCAAAGAGACACAGCTGGTTCAAGTTAGAGCTGGGGCCAGAATCTATGACTGAACTTCCACTAAGATGAAGGTCAGGATAAACCAGCATAAACTAGATCATAACATCATTAACAACAAAACCCTCAGGCCAAGATGATAGAACATTAAAATGCTATTTTTTCAAGTTTACAGATTTATGCTGACATTTCATGTAGGTAAGTTATAACCTGCTCTGTCTCAGGTACCCTTCTTGGCCCAAAGTCTTTGAGGAGCTACACGAAGCACCTCCCTACAATTGCATGGTACTAGGGAGAGAGCCTCCTGGTCACCTGAAAGAATGGTGGCGAGCACACTGTGCTTTGTTCGGCTGCCTGTTGGTGATTCTAACATCCTGGCAAAAAGCAAAAATGCTGTAGAGTGAGGGTGAAGAGCCAAGCTGAGAAGGCATAGAGGAGCTTCAAAGAAAATCATTCTGAAAAGAAAAAATGCTGCTGCTTCACAACCAGTAGCAATTAAATGACCTTAAATGTCTTGGTTACAATAACTATGGCTTGTCTTTACAAATTCACACTTGAATGCAGTGGACTGGAAGCCACACTGTCAAGATTTTGCCATCCTGGACTCTACTTTTACTTCCTGCTCTCACCAGAGAGTCCCTGCTCAAGGTCCCCTCCTCCACTAAACCAACATCAAAGAATGGCAGGACCAACAGGCTGAACACACTGGGGAAATAGAGCCCGTTTTCCCCACCTGTGAACCATCTAGTATCTCTCTATTCTTCACATAATCTCAACCATCTTGGACCTCCTGTGTACACTCTGAAGTGAATGCCCATCTTACTTTTTGCAAGGCTTCTTATGCAGAGAAATCGGGGTGCTTTTGTTAGTATAGGTAGCTACATATTAATAAAGGAAGGGAGCAAAGGGAACCAGACATTAAGAAGCCTAGCAAACTGGGAAGCTGAATCCAATATTGAGCCTGCTTAACTGGAAAGCTATAGCCCCTATTCTCCTATGCCTCGGCCCTGCCACCCTGGCTTTGTCCGGAAGGATGTCCGGAATGATGTCTAGAAGATGCCTGGTCTAAATAGCATATTACCCTTTTATTAGTATAGATATGCCTGTGGGATTGGGCCTAAACCGGCAGTCGAACATCCCTCTTGCAATCTGGAATCGCTGGCTCCTAACCACTCACCTGCCTGCCAGCCTGGTCACCCCTATTCGCCTTTGCCTTGGGCCCACCACCCTAGCTTTATCCGGAAGGACTTCTGGAAGATGTCTGGTCTAATTAGTATATTACCTTTTTATTAGTATAGATTTTGTCAGATATGAGTTTTGCTACCCCAGCTTTTTTTTTTTCCATTTGCCTGGAAAAATGTTGTATCCCTTCACTCTCATCCTGTGTGAGTCATTAGTTCTGAGGTGGGTCTCTTGTAGACAGCATATAATTGGGTCATGTTTTTATATCCATTCAGCTAACCTACTAGTACAGTGATGGCGAACCTTTTGAGCTCAGTGTGTCAGAATTTTGAAAACCCTAACTTAACTCTGGTGCTGTGTCACATATAGAAATTTTTGATATTTGCAACCATAGTAAAACAAAGATTTATATTTTTGATATTTATTTTATATATTGAAATGCCATTTAACAAAGAAAAACCAACCAAAAAATGCGTGTCACAGGTTCGCCATCACTGTACTAGTATGTCTTTTGATTGGACATTTACACTTAAAGTTATTATTGATAGGTACTTATTTATTGCCATTTTAATTCTTTATGCCTATGTTTCTCTCCCTATATATTTCTTCTCATTACAGCAGTCCCTTTAGCATTTCTTGCAGTGCTGGTTTTGTTGGTGTTAAACTCCTTTAGCTTTTTTTTGTTTTTTGTTTTCTGGGAAGCTTTTTATATTACCATCTATTTTGAATGATGGCCTTGCTGGATATAATAATCTTGGTTTCAGATCCTTGGTTTTTATTACTTTGAATACTTCATGCCATTCCCTACTGGCCTGTAGTTTCTGATGAGAAATCAGGTGTCTGTCTTAGGGGAGCTCCTTTGTAAGTAACAAATTGCTTTTCTCTTTCTGCCTTTAAGATTTTCTCTTTAATTTTTGGAATTTTAATTATGATGTGTCTGGGCATGGGCCTGTTTGGGTCCTTCTTGCTTGGGACTCTGCCTCCTGAATTTGTGTGACTTTTCTTCACCATGTTAGGGAAGTTTTCTGCCATTATTTCTTCAAATAAACTCTCTACCTCTTGCTCACTTTCTTCTCCTTCTGACACTTCTATTATGTGAATTTGTTAGGTTTCATGGTATCCCAGCCCCCTTAAGCTGTCCACCTGTTTTTTCCTTGTTTTTTCTTTTTGGTTCTCTGATTGATTTTTTTCTCCCATGTTCTAATTCACTGATCCAATCCTAGGCTTCCCCTAACCCACCGCTTATTCCTTCCACTATGTGCTTTCTTAGTGCTATGTCATTCTTCATAGTTACTATATATATTTTATCATACTGTTGAGCATCTTTGCCATCATTATTCTGAACTCTATGTCTGATAAATTTCTTATCTCCATTTCATTTACCTCTTCTTCTGGAGAATTCTCTTGTTATTTCATTTGGGCCTTGTATTTTTGTCTCCCCATTTTGACTGCTGGTTTGGGTTTGAGTCTCTGTATTAGTGATCTGGTATGAGTCACAATCGCTAGTGCAGGACAATGTCAGATGCTGATACTGTACCTGAGTATTCTGTTTGGAGCTATCAGCAATCAACAGCTGGTGGCTACCTCTGTTGGGCTGGATGCCTTTGGAAAGGACCAAGATGTGCACCAGGGTCTGCTTTTCCTAGCCCTGGATTAGAACAGGCAAAGACCCAAAGCCTGCAGAGACCCACCACTGCCCGCAGTCCCAATGACACTCAGTTTTGATTAGCCTCAGGCTATATACCACAGGGTAGGGCAATAGGTCTTCCAATAGGTGGGGCAACTGCTGCCTTCTTCCAAGGCAAAAACTTCCTGAATAGCAAAGGTTAACCGGAGAAAGATTCCTCTCCAGTGTGAGGGAATGACTGACCAAAGAAAACCAGGGTGGCTGCACTCCAAGCTCCAACCCCAGAGGCCCCAAACCTGGCTTCTGCTCACACAGCTCCAGGCCACTCTGCCCTCCCTCTGCCAGAGCTCAAGTTTTGTGGCTACACATGAAATTTTGTAGGTTGGCCCTTTAAGAGGTACCTGCATTTCCAGTCTTCTCTCCCTGGCAGAAATAAACCCTGCTTCTTTTCAGATTATGACCTGCTTCTTTTCACAACCGGATGTTATGTGCACGCCTTTCTCAGTTCTGGTGCGCTGGCTGGGAAGCCCAACTGGTTTAGACCCCAGAGTTCTCAGTGGGAACCCTCTACAGCTGAGATATCCGTCAGGAACTTCAGCTGCTGTCTGTGGGAGCCTGGCCAGCCCTTGCATGCCTCCACACTTCCTACCAGTCTCTATGCAGTCTCCACTTTCCATCCTTAGTTATCAGGGTTCTCTCCAGTTAGTCTTCATTGACTTTTCAGAGTGGTTTTTCTATACTTTAGTTGCATTTCCGGTTTGTTCCTGGCAGAGTATCAGTGTAGCTTCCACTTACTCCATTGCCATTTTGGAATCTCTCTCTCTTTTTTTTTTTAATTCTCACCCAAGGATACGTTTGTTGGTTGTAGAGAGAGGAAGGGAGAGAGAGAAACATTGATTTCATGCCTCCCGTATGTGCTCCAACTGGGAATCAAAACTGAAACCTATGCCCTTACCAGGAATCACACCTGCAACCTTTTGGTGTATGGGATAACATTCCAACCAACTGAGCTATCTGGCCAGGACTAGAAATCTTTTCTGCTGGCAGTCTTACAGACTCAGAAATTAACTTATGATTAGCAGTGTTCATTAACTGTTATATTTTTTTTTCTTCCTTCTATTTTCATAGCTTATATGTCTATGACATTATTTACCAAATGGTTTGTTCACACAGTATGGGCCTCGCTTTGAAAGCCCATCTCATCACCACATCTGAAAATGAGACTCAGGTTTGGCTGGATTAACTTATTGTCAGGACTAAATTGTTGTGTCAGTGAAGTATAAAGCAGTCCTACCAGATTCACTTGAAACTCTTTCCCTTTTCTGCCCAAGTTGTGCAGACAGAAAAGGCTGCTTCAGAAGGGAAATCTTAGAATGTTCCCTTTAGCCTAATTTCAATTTAAGTATGATAAACAAGAGAGATTCAAACGTGTGACACACCTTTCTCCAGGGAGGCTCCTCCTCCAATTTAATCTGGAACATTCCTTCTATCATCTGGTTCTTACCACTCACCACCCCTTTAGTTGCTATATTTCTCCTCATTTTTGCACTAAGCCTTTTTAACCTTTTTGTCAAATTTGTCACCTCTAGAATAGAATGTCAGCCTGTCCAATAGCGCCATCCTCTAGATATAACATGTGCTGCCTCCCAAGGACAGCAACAGCCTAACCTGGACTTTACAATAACCCCTTTTCCCTGTGTGAGGTCTCCCCGTTTGCTTCTTTCTTTCTTTGGCAGATAGGAAGAATCTCTGGGTCTGTGGACCGGCAGCACTATGCTCTCTGACAACAAGAAGATGTTACAAAGATGAGATCTCCATCCATTTACTACCCTTATAAAGTTGTAAGGCCCAAGATTCTTCAGGGGGGGATATGTTAGTGTAAGTAGCAAGATATTAATAAAGGAAGAGAACAAAGGGAATTAGACATTATGAAGCCTAATAAATTGATAGATTTGAATCCAATGTTGGGCCTGCTTCACTAGAAAGCTATAGCTTCATACATTCCCCAGGGAACAATCGATCCATTTCCCCTGGATTACTAGAGGTGGGACAGAACAATAAAGAAGAAATTCCTCTGCTGGACGCATGCCTAGTAGAAGCCAAGATTGTACAGGGGGAGGTGATTCTACTATGAGGCATGCACAGAAGGACTAAGATTGAAACCATAAAGACCTGTCCTTCTAGCCTGGAAAGAGGATCAGATTGGATAAGGGACACAGCCCCCAGAAAAAAATCTAGGAAATGGATTGGTTAGGGGGATGAAACCAGCAGAAGCAAAAGATTGGGAAAGTTCATTGGTTATTTTAAAAGGGCTTCTTGTCCTTCCCAAGCCCGAGATAATATAACCCAAGCTTATTTAACAAATCTCTTGCGCTCTCTCTCTTGCTTGGCAACACACACCCACAGCAGCCATGCAGCCAGCAGTTGTGCAGACTCCAACCACTGGCAGCATCAGCCAGAGTGCAGCCTGGAACAAACTACGCTAGCTGGATAAGGACAGACATGGCAGAAACTGGACTAAGCTTTGACATGGGACAGAACTTTTGGACACAGGACTTTGTACTGGGCTTAATGAAAATAAGGCTAAATATTTTCATGGCGATGGACAGAGATGAGACACTGGGAACCTGGGGGTTGCCTTCTATTTCTACCCAAATAAATCTTACCACCAGAACTCATCCTCCCACGTGGGTTCATGGAAATGCTATTCTTGTGCAAGGACCATTTCCACCAGCAACACTTTTATTTGCACTTGTGGCTCCTAAAAAACTGGGATTATAGGATAAGAAGTAGGCCACAGGAATGGAATGGCGTACTGGTTTCTAAAAACAGTTCTAATCTGCAGAGAGCATGTGAAGTATTTCCTATGATTGAGGAACAGGGGAAGAGAGCTAGGAAGAGGCCATGCCTCAGGCAGTTTGCTGGATACTTACTTTGTGTAAGGTAATACACAAGGGCACAGCCCCCACTAGTCATCACACTGGTATAAAGGATCACTTTTCCCAGAGGCACTTGCGGCATCCTGCTTCCTAGAGCCTTAAAAACAAAAGATTAAAATTTATTGTTACACTCAGGTTTGCGTGAAGGGCTTTGTTGGTCTAGATTGGGCCCAAAAGGAAAGAAAAGCAAGGAGGAAGCCTATAAGGAGACAAGGCCATCTTTCCTCCTTTGCTTCCTGTCAGAATGCCAGGGCTGGTTCTGGAGCCAAAGCAAGTGTCCTTCTGAGGGTGGCCCCAATCCAGGACCCATGCTATGGGGGTAGTGGCTGAGCACAGAGCAAGCATTAGCCCTGCTGTCTTGACAGACAGAACCCCAACTTGTGTGACAAATGCTGCCCAGCCAAAAATCACAGCTACTTTGAGTCATGGTGGCTCCTTTTGTGGCAATAGGTAATCATATAAGCCGTTGAATGGGTAGCCACTGACTGCTTTTCTTTCGTATCTGGAAAAATGTCCTACCCTGGGGATGAGGAATCTGTGGTCATGACTTTCAGGCTGAATGAACAGACAGAGAAGAGTCAACTCAGCCAATTCAGAGTACCATAGCCAATCCTTGCATAACTCCTGTCCCCTGAAGGTCTGGGTCGGCTAAGAGCAACATGTAGGCCTGATGTGGCCAAACCTCCTCATTCTCAGAGACCATTCAACCAGACTCAAAGCTGTGAAATACTCAACCATAAAACAGAGCAGTGTATGGGTTTACATCAGGGCTTATAATTCAAAAGCCCAAAGGGCTAGAAAATGTCACACAAATGAGAGCAGACATGTGGGCCAAGTCTGAATGAGTCTTCCAATTTTTTCAAGTGGTTTTTCCTGTGAAATTGCCTAAATTCTAAAATTTTATAACCAATTTAAAAAAACAAAATACATCTGTGATTCAGATTCTTTCTGTGGCTTCTAGTTTGCCATGACTGCCCAAGCAGCATGCGGACACCCTTACCCTAGGTGAGAAAAATTTATCTTTGTCTGTCTTGGCTGACATTTTGAGAGAGAGAGAGAGAGAGAGAGAGAGAGAGAGAGATTGATTGATTGATTTTTGAGCTGACATGGAAATTCCAAGTTTAGGTAAAGGAAAAAATGACCATAAGCATTTATGTCCTGAACACTTAACCTTAGATTTTATGAGCTTCTTTAGAAAACAAAGCCTTTATGTGGCCTAATGGAGTGGGAGGCATTACAGTGTAGAACTGGGTATAATGCTGAATCTGTGAGTTAGGGTAAACACATTCTTACTGTCTGCTTCTCTGATTTCTGGAATATGGAGAGTAATAACAACTGTTTACCTATTATTTCCAGAAATGTGACAGTAAATAAATCCATAAGAAGGCCTATTGGAAAAAGTTCCTCAAGTGAATATTCTTTCTGGAAACCAACAATTAAACAGACCCTTAAGTAGTGCTAAAATTGACTAGTTTCATAAAGAATTCTGATCAACTTATAAAATGAGGCAAGGTAAAGTTTTCGCTTATTCATGTATTATACAGTTTTGTTTAACTAAGAAAAGGCAGCTGAAACCTCAAATAAATGTACAAAAACTGCTATAAGAGTTTCAGCTGATGCAATATAGCATGCAAGAATGTTTATGTTTATCAAAGTTTAACATAAAGTCAATTAAAGTAATGTAATCTGGAAATAAACATTTAGTCTAATAATGAAAATGGTCAAAACATCTCCAAAGAATGCATTAGTCAGACCTTGCCTAATTTGAAAGCACCCTCAACAGAGTAGGACAATGAGCAAGAGCTCTGCAGAGTTCCTCACAATATTGTAGTTCCTAAAGTTAGCAGGAGGCATGGAATAAAAGACATCCTGGAATAATGCAGAGAACAGCCACCCCATCCTTCCTGTGAAGTTATATCCACAAGTGAAAATGAATGACCAGAAGAAACCCACAGCTATTCAGGCAGCAATTTTCATCTACTGTCTAACTTCAGGGTACCCTGGAGGATTCTAATGGGGAACCTGGCCAGGAACATTCATTACCTTTTGCCACTGTGTAACACGGCTTTCTTGAAAATCATCAAAGGAAATCTGCCCTGCAATTAGAAAATGATTTTACATTAAAATCACTTTTTCAAATCCAATTCTCTCTGGTGGCTAATTTTATAAAACCAAGATTTATTACTAATCCAAGCCTTAGAACATGAACATGAAGTTAAGTTTAACCTCTAAAACAAGCCTTGTCTATAAAGGGCCCTACTAGTTTTCCTCTTTCTCTTCTGCCCTTAAGGAAGAAAATCCAAAGCCAGCCACCAGAAAACTGATGTGGGTAGGGGAGGGTGCACTGCAGCGGCAGTGGGCGTGTGACCTCAGTGCACACAATCATGGGCCTGTGAGCAGCCCACCGAAACAAGATGCTATCAATATAAGCTGTACACCATGGATTAAAAACAGCTTTTCAGGGTTAAATAGAAATAAATATATACATAGCATTTAATAATATTGATAATAATAGTGAATATTTGTATCTCTTACTTAGGTGCCTGGTATTATTGTAAGCACTGTACATATAATCATTTAATTCTCATAACGATCCCACAAAGTAGGAACCATTGTTATCATCTCCAGAGAGGGTAAGTAACATACCTCACGTCACACAAATAAGCATGTAAGTGGTAGAACTGGGATTCAGACCCAGGTGGTCTATCTCCAGGACTGTGCTTTCAACCATGATATACTGACTTTACAATACCCACTGATTTCAGAAATACTGAAATGTCAAAAAAAAATCATGTGTCTCTGAATTACAATATATTCGTGCAAAAGCCTTGTCAGGTATGCCCTCCCTGCTATTTTTCCAGACAAGAATGTGGCATGTTTATGTACCTTTATTCTTTCTTTTGCTTTTGGTTGTTGCGGGCTTTCAAACAGTGATGAGGGGAATCCCGATAATTCACTATAATTACAACACAGATAGGAACACGAGATACATCTGGGGATGCCACAACCCTACCAGGGTGCCACCGACAGGGTAAACAAGTTAGACTCATATACAAGATGGGGCAAAAAGTAGGTTTACAGTCGTGAGTAGGGGAAACACAGAGTTTACGCTTGTATTATTACTTATTAATGTATTATCTTCCATATGAACAACTGTAAGCCTACTTTTGCCCCACGTATTTATTAAGATGGTTTTCTAACAATTGGAAGTTCTCTGAAGTATCTTGAAGAAGCGGTGGGTGCCTTTTTCTAATTTGCACAAAGGTGCCTAGAGGCAAGCAGAAGCCTGGTTAGTGTGACCAGAGGGTGTACCAGGAGAGGAAGCAACACCAAGGAATTGGTCAGCCCTGTCTGGAGATCAGCAAAGGAAACTGACTCCGAGTAAGAGGAAGGTGAAGGAGTGGGAGAAGGGCTTCAGATCAGTAAAAACAGCAAGCAAAGGCCGCGCGGCAGAAACAAGAGCTGCGGCACTGTGGAGAGCTGGTGGGGAGCCACAGGAAGTGGGCCTGCAAACGGAGGCTGTCACTGCCATGAATGGCCGTCTACCCTGCTGGACTCCACTGTGTATTATTTTGTATTGTATTACTCCTGGCATTGGGCTCTGTCTTACCAGCTGAGTCTATCAAAGTAAATTATTTTCTCTACTCTCCCCCGCCAAATTGCCAAAACCATGGTTCATCTTAATATGCTAGAAGCAGGCACATAGGCAGTTGAAGTAAAGTGTTACCATTGTTAGCTAATTACTATAAGAAAGAGAGCAAAGGGAGGGTCAAACACTGTTACCCACAGTCAGCTGGGAAGCAGAGGCCTGTTTGCTTCACCGCGAAGCTACAGCTTCACACCCCAAGAAATTGTGGGTCACTTTACGATCGTATTTAATCGCCATTGTTACTTCTGTGGAAGCAATACCTTTTGCTGCTGCTTCAGATTGGGCTTCCATTTCTACCTCATGTAGCATCTTGTACGATTTTGTTAATTCATGTATGTCATGCATGAGGTTGTTGATGTTGATCATGAGTCTTTCTGAGCAGCCCTGGTTTTCTGGCACTGCTAATCTTTTACTTGTAGCTTCAGCTGTATCCAAAATATAGAGGTGAGCAAACTTCCGAGAAACACCATCCAAAGGATGTAACGTTCCAGTACGGTGATAAACTTGTCCATGTGTTCTAAAACAGTATGGCACATACCCTGATGGCGATGCAATATTAGCACCCATGGAAGCCAAAGCAAAAGAACTATTTATGGAACGAATATTTTCCATGAAATTTTTACTGTCAGAATCTTCGTTTGTCATTAATCTTTTTAAATATGCCGGGTAATCTGGAAAATGCATCTCATTTGGACAGACTTTCCCTTTGCTACAACATCGAGTAAATTTCCCATCGGATGGTTTTTCATCTGAGAAATTTAGTGATAGGCAAAATTCACATCGAATAGTCATTCCACCACAACTATGTTCGAGAATTGCATTGTCATGTACTCCATTTTCACTGAGAAGGCAGTTCCTACCGGTATTGGTAGTACTTGTTGATGACTGTTCTCTAGACATATTCTGTTGTCGCCACCGCCTTCTTTCAACTTCAAAGGCACGTTGGTCTTTAGACATTTTCTGTCGATCACGCCGGTGATATTCAGCATCAGAGCAATGTTTTTCCAGTAGCTGGTGTTCAGATACATCCTGTTTCAGGCGCCGCCTTCTTTCAAGATCAGACGCACGCTGCTCTGCAGACACTTTCTGTCGATAACGCCGGCATCTTTTGGCTGAAGAGCTACGTTGTATCAACAGTTGTTCTTTAGACATAGTCCCACCTCTCTACTGTCACAGTCTGAGATGCAGGTGAATGAGAGTCCTATCAGGCCGCTGAGAGCTGTCTGACCAATGGCTGATTCTGGCTGATTCTGTGGGGGTGGGACTTCCTCCTCCCTGCTGTCAGTTTCCACAACTGTGATGAGGAAGCTGGGGTGACAGAGGGAGCCGCACCCTCCAAACCACCCTCTCTCTCGCTCTGCTCTATGTCCAGCAGTCTCCTGCTCTGCCAAGTCCTCCAAACCTCCTGCTCTCCGCTGGCAAGGTCCTGGGAGCCCGCGGTGTGGCTAGGTGCGGGCACCTTGCCTCCCTGACCGGCGAAAGTCCCGGGAGCCCGCGGCTGCTGTCGCCTCCTGGGGCACTTGACACCTGCGTATGCAAATTAACCGCCATCTTTGTTGGGTTAATTTGCATAGTCACTCGAATTGGCTTGTGGGTGTGGCTTGAGCATAGCGGAGGGATGGTTAATTTGCATGTTTCTCTTTTATTATATAGGATTTTTATTTGATTGTGTATTGCCTCTCTCAAAAAGCTGGGGTATAAACAGGCTGAGCTGGGTGCTTAACATTTGTGTAATCTTGGTATTGGCAGGATACTAAGCAAGTCACATATAAATCTAAGTTATGTTAAAGTCCCAAGGGTCTGCAGCATTCAAATCCATCTGCGGACCTTTTCAGTGCATTTGTAGATGCCAAATGCTATAAGGTGCCAAGAGCATATATAGGATTCCACTTATATGAGATACCTAGAATAGTCAAACTCACAGAGAAAAAAGTAGAATCATGATTGCCAGGGGCTGGGTAGCAGGGAGACAATGGAGAGTTATTTAATGGATACAGAGTTTTAGTTTTGGAAGATAAAGGTGTGGAGAGAATGGTTCAGAAAGTTGCACAACAATATGAATGTACTTAATGTTACTGAATTGTATGGTTAAAATGCTAAACTTCATGTTATGTACATTTTACCACAACTTAAGCAGTGAAGCAAGAAACACAAAATCCTCCTAACAAATCAGGCCATAGGGAGAACTAGAAATTGTATGTAAAATAAAGATATGCAACTTTTTCTAAAGAGTTGTGGTAATATAACTTTCCTCAGTTTCTCAAAATGTTCGGCGACCTTAAAAATATTTGAATTACAACTATGAAATAAGAAAAATATAAAAATATTTGAGTTAAACCTATGAAATGTGAAAAACAAATATAAAAATGTTAATAAGATTTTATAAAACTGTTATTCCCAGCATGTCCCTATCAATATAGAACCAATATAGTTACATCCAAGCTCTGTACATATTAAATCCTCAAAGGGCCATCACCGGTTTGGCTCAGAGCATTGGCCTGCGGACAAAAGGGTCCCAGATTCATTTCTGGTCAAGGGCACTTACCTTGGTTGCAGGCTCAATCCCCAGTAGAAACAGTGCAGAAGGTAGCCAATCAATGATGTTCCTCTCTCATCGATGTTTCTATCCCTCTCCCTGCTTCTCTCTCTAAAAATAAGTAAAAATATATTTTTTAAAACCTCAAATAAACTTCTATTAACATAAAATAAGTACCACTACTTGATGACAACTGTCCAGTACAGCTCTCACAAATTTAGTACAGTATATTAAACATGAATAAAAAAATAAAGGAGTAACATCTACAAGTCTGTTTGAAATAGAAAATTAAATGAACCAACAAAACTGAAGCAGATTATAGCATATTTTTCAAGGCAGGGAGGTAAGGAGGCAGTGTCTATAATAATAAACACTCTAAGTTAAATATGTACTAGAAATGCATATGTCACACTAACCAGGGAACTATGTTAGTTTCTATAACACATATAATTTAAAGCAGTATCCCAAACTACACCCACAAAAGCCTACAAAAGGAAAACACTGACAGTCCTAACTATACAAAAAATGTAAACATCAGTATAGTAAAAGATACAAAACAAAATATTTTTTTTAAAGCAGTAATTTTTTAAAATATATTTTATTGATTTTTTACAGAGAAGAAGGGAGAGGGATAGAGAGTTAGAAACATCGATCAGCTGCCTCCGGCACACCCCCTACTGGGGATGTACCCACAACCAAGGTACATGCCCTTGACCGGAATGGAACCTGGGACCCTTCAGTCCACAGGCCGACACTCTATCCACTGAGCCAAACGGGTTAGGGCTACAAAACAAAATTTAATAGGCAAATAGACTGAAAATATTTGCCACATATCTAACAGTCAAAATAGGTGAATATCTCTATACAAAGAACTCTTACAAATCAGTAAGGAAAACACAAAACTGAATAGGGAATAAACAAGTTATATAAACTATTTCTTCCGGCTTCATTTTCAAATCTCATAATGCTGTACACATATTCTTTACAGCTCTTTTTCCTGGGCCTGGTCTCCCACACATAGCAGTTGTTATTCGACTTACTCACTGAATTGCCCCCACAGACCTTAACCATGGTCTTCAGAGAGAGTAAATATTAACCTCACGTGCTTTTCATTTAAAGGAACTATAGGATAATCTACAAGTCTTTCATATATCTGATAAGGGACTTACATCTAGAATATATATGCCCAGCCAATGTGGCTCAGTGGTTGCGCATTGACTTATGAACCAGGAGGTCACAGGTTCGATTCCAGTCAGGGCACATGCCAGGGTTGTGGGCTGGATCCCCTGTGGGCAGTGTGCAGGAGGCAGCCAATCAATGATTCTTTCTCATCATTGATGTTTCTATCTCTCTCTCCCTCTCCTTTCCTCTCTGAAATCAATAAAAATATATTTTAAAGAAACATACTAGAATATATAAAGAATTCTTACAACTCGATGAAAAGAATAATAACCTGATTAAAACTGAACGAAGGATATAAACAGACTTTTGTCCAAAGATATACAAATGGACAACAAGCATGTGAAAAGATGTTCAACATCACTAGCTATCAGAGAAATGCACATCAAAACACCAGACACAGTAGGATGGCTAGAATAAAAAAGACAACTACTGACAAGTGTTGACAAGGATGTGGAGAAATCAGAACCAGCATACACTGCTGATGGGAATATAAATGGTGCAGCGGCTCTAGAAAACAGTCTGGCAATTCCTTCAGATGTTAAGAGTTACCCTAAGACCCAGCAATTCTACTCCTAGGTATATACCCAAGAGAAATGAAAACATGATGCTTGCATTAAAACTTATAAACGTTCATAGCAGCATTATTCAAATTAGCCAAAACAATCCTAATGTCCATCAACTGACCCATGGATAAACGGTGGTATATTCATAAAATGAAATATAATCGAGCAATATAAAGGAATTAAGTACTGATACCTGGTACAACATGGTTGACATGAATGTGAAGTGAAAGAAGACAATCAAAAAAGATTACACGCTGTATGATTTCATTTATATAAATTATCCAGAGTAGGCAAATATTTAGACAGTAGATTAGTAGTTCTTAGGGCTAGGAGTGCAGAAGTACTTAGGCCCTAAGTACTGTGGTTCTCAACCTTCCTAATGCCGCGACCCTTTAATACAGTTCCTCATGTTGTGGTGACCCCCAACCATAAAATTATTTTTGTTGCTACTTCCTAACTGTAATTTTGCTACTGTTATGAATCGTAATGTAAATATCTGATATGCTATATGTGTTTTCCGATGGTTGCAACCCACAGGTTGAGAACCGCTGACTTAGGGCTAGGGGTTGGGGAGAAAGTCAGAAGAAACTGCCCATGAGTTCAGGGTTTCTTTCGGGGGTTAAGAAAATGTTTTAAACTTGATCATGGTGTAAATGCAATTGCTATCCCAGAGGAACTGCCTTGTATGTCTTATGCCTCAAATCTTGGAATATTAAAACAGAGCAAAAGAATCTTTAGATGGGGCGGAAAGCAACATTGTGCCCCAAAGGAACTGTCTGCAAAGATAACAAGAAAGCAGATATTATGACTATTGCACTGATGACAACTGAATTGAAAATTTAAAATAGTTTAGAATTAGCATCGCTATGTTAACTTATCTGCACCAACAGAAATAACAGAAATGCCTTCCTTCAGTTCCCCTTCCCTTTCTCATAAATAACCCTGGGCTTCTACCTGAATGCTTTGGTCACAAATAAATGCTGCTTGCCTCTCACTTCGAAAGGTCTTTTATTTTTAGGTTAATAGTGTTGATGGCTTTAGCACTTTGTGAATGTATTTTTAAAATTCAATGTACATTTTATCCTATGGTATGGGAACTATATCACAATTAAGCTGTTTGCTGCTGTTTTTTTTAAGAACCGTGGACTGTATTTTCCCCCAATTATATCCTCAGCTCCTAAAACAGTGTTTGGCAATGTTAGGCATTCAACAAATTCTGACTAAATGAAAGAGTAAATTTCAAAACATGGGTAAACCATGATACAATTCTGTCATATCCAAAGTGATGAGATTACTGCAGGTTGGCATGGGGGGATAGTGTGTCCGTTTAGGGGTGTTTTCCTTGAAGGATGAGACTGAGATGTTCAGCAGACCCAAGACCTTGAAGGGTGTTCAGCCAGGCTAAGGACTTTCCATTCACCTGAGTCAATGGGAGTGCCAGCCAGATTCTGCGCAGAGGAACACGGGCTGCTTGTCAGATGCGCGGTTTAAATAGAGCGTTGCTACTTCTACCCAAAGATAACACCTTGAAGTAGAGCAATGCCCCTCAGGTGAGAATCGGGAGGAGATGGGGAAGACAGACAAGCAAATATCAAAATATAAGATTTTTAAAAATATATATTTTATTGATTTCAGAGAGGAAGGGAGAGGGAGAGAAACATCAATGATGAGAATCATTGATTGGCTGCCTCTTGCACGCCCCCTACTGGGGATCGAGCCGGAAAAGGCATGTGCTTCTGACCAGAATCAAACCTGGGACCCTTCAGTATGCAGGCTGACGCTCTACCCATTGAGGCTAACCAGCCAGGGCAGATTTTTAATAGGTTTTTTAAATTACACTCAGCAGACCGGGCGCGCGCGCACACACACGCACATACACATACATGTACGTGCACCGCGCCCTACACTGAAATCATACCGACAGTCAGCCCCTGGATGGCGCTCACGTGTGGTCGGGCAGAAAGGTACTGTGACCATTGGCCAGAAAACGCTACAATTATCTTGGCAGGGTCCTTCTCCCAGTGCAACTCAGGACCACCACCAAGTGCCCGGTTACACCTCTCGGGGGCCCCAACTCCCCCAACTCTTCACAATGTGCTCCTGGGACCGCACAGCAAGATCAGCTACACACGCTTCACAACTCGGGGGGAGGTCCCCTAGCCGCATCCCCAGGGCGGAGCCCACCGCCTGCCTCCGGAGCCCCGCGCAGCGGAGGGAGCTAGCGACCAGCGGCGGATGACCCTCGAGGGGCCGGGCGCCCTTCAAGAGGCCCGCCCCGCACGCGGACGCGGCCTCCCGGCTGCCAGAACTAACCTTTCGGGGCGCAGGAGAGACCCGGCTCCTTCTCCCTGGGCTGAATCTAACTTGTCCGGGGCAGAAGGAGCAGGTGGCGGAGGCGGAGAGCGGCAGGGCTGCAGCCGCAGGTGAGGAGGGGGCGGGACGAGCCTCTGGGCCGCACGCCCCCTGGAGCAGTCGAGACTTCCGGCGGCGCCTCCTCTGGCGGCTAGAGCGTCAGCTGCGGGACGTGCTTTCCCCACGTGGACTAGAGCGACCCCGCCTGGCGGACGGGCTTCAGCTTCCTAGTGTTGAGGCTCCTGCCAGGAAGGAGGTCGACTCCTCAAAAATCTCCGCTTTTTGTTTTCTGGGTCCAGGCAGGATCGGCTGCCTCCTACATGCCTCCTATTGGGGATGTGCCCTTGGCCGGAGTTGAACCCAGGACCTTTCAGTCCGCAGGCCAACGCTCTATCCATTGAGCCAAACCAGCCAGGGCTCAGCCCGGAGATTTAAGCTGCAGCCTCTCTTGGCTCCTTTCAGGGCTCGCGGGCTTGGCTGACCCCCAAGGACGCAAAGCCACAGGCCACCTGACCCCCGCACTCTGGCCCTGAAATCCATGTTGCTCCTTTCGCTGAGAAAGCTGGCAACAATAAAATTTATCTTATTCACCAATTATTTGCTAAATCCAGGGAATGCACGGGTAAGAAAAAGCTGAAATGGCCCTGGCCGGGTAGCTCAATTGGTTAGAGCGCTGACCCATATGCCAAGGTTGTGGGTTCAGTTTCTGGTCAGGGCACATACAAAAATCAACCAATGAATGCATCTCTCCATCTGTCTATCTAGCTATCTCTATCTCTATCTCTATCAAAAATGAATAAATAAATTTTGAAAAATTAGAAAAAAAGAAAATACTGGAGTGGTCTCTGTTCTCATGGAATTTACTAGTAAAACAGGTAATAGTATTTACCTCAGAGATTTGTAAAGGATGCAAAGTACTTAGAATAGTGCCTGGTGTCTTGTAAGTGCTCAGTAAACATTAGCTGTTATTATTT